AGGGCGGCGGCCACGGCGCAGTAGGAGGCCAGGATGAGCGCGGCGGGCAGCAGCAGCAGCGCCAGGCAGGCGCCCAGCAGGGGCAGCTCGTCCGCGTAGCCCCGGGTGCAGGCCAGGTGCAGCAGCGCCGTGATGTCGCAGAAGAAGTGCACCAGCAGGCGGGGGCTGCAGAAGGGCAGGCGGAAGACCGCCGCCGTGAGCCCCACGGACACCGTGAGCCCCCCGAGGCAGCAGGCCAGGGCCAGCCGCGCGCACAGGCCCGGGGTGACCAGGGCGGCATAGCGCAGAGGGCGGCAGATGGCCACGTAGCGGTCATAGGCCATGGCGGCCAGCAGGAAGCACTCGGCCCCGCCCAGCGCCACGAACAGCTGCATCTGGACAGCGCAGCCCAGGAAAGAGATGGGCCTGCCCCTGTCCCCGCCGGGGGCGGCCAGGTCGGCCAGGGAGCGGGGCACCACCACCAGCGTGTAGCACAGCTCGATGGCTGACAGCTGGCACAGGAAGAGCAGCATGGGCGGCCGGCTGGGCACGCGGGCCACGGCCACCAGGATGAGCAGGTTCCCCCCGAGGGTGGCCAGGTGCCCGGCCAGCAGCAGCAGGAAGAGCGCGGGCCTCAGGTGCGGGAACTCGGAGAAGCCCTGAAGGACAAAGCCGCAGGGCACGGTGGCATTGCCCGGGCAGCCCATGCGCGGCCGCCCAGGGGCACCTGTGGGAGAGAAACGCGGGAAGGGGAGCGTGTGGGGCGCCACCCCTTTGGCCCTGCTGGCGGAGTTAGAGGGTGGGAGGGGGTCGTGGGTACAGAGAAGGGTGGGGTTCACGTCCATGCTCAGCCCCCTCCCCATGACGTATCTTGTTAACTTGTCCAGAAACAGGCGGCAGGTCTTCCTGCGTCCTGGGCTAGAATTCTCACAGCTGTTTTCTGAACATGCTTTTTCCAAAGAAGCCGGGATTGTAGGCCCTTTCCTTGTAACGCGTCTCTCCTGACCTCCACCTACCAAGAATTCCCTGCCTTCGGACTCCAGTTAGCATTCGGAGGGGCCCGAGCTCCCCAAGGCAGGAACTGCGTCTTTGGTCTCTGCCTCTGTTTCCTCCCCCGTGCCCTGCGCGGTCACTTCGGGGTTGCTGTCTGTCTGTGTCACAGAATCACAGAAACATAAAGCAGATGAAGACCTCAGAGCTCATCTCCTACACCCTCAGAGTTGTCAAGAGGAAAATAAAACTGGGGGTGGTGGTGGTGAAGGGCTTAACGGTTCACTGAAAATTACAAACAGAATCTGCATTCCCCAGGCTGAATCCGGAACCTCCCATGACCCCAAATGAGGCCATAAAGAATGTCTCGAGGGTCAGCCAGTTCATATTAATTTAGTCTTAAAAAAGACGCAGGTCTGCACCAGGCGCTGAGGCAGGCACGCAGGGGGCAGGGTAAGTTAGTGGGAGGGCCTGGCTGGGCACATCAGGAACAGTGTGTCCCTCACATTTTTATTAGGAGTGCCGTGTATCTGCCCTAACTCGCTTTCTGAGCGAGCAGTACATTCCAGAATTGCCAAATGAACAGTTTCTTTCTAAGCATCATCCCTGACTCGCTTGTAGGCAACTTTTGGAAAACATTGATAGCCTGTGGGTGGACTGTGCTTGTTGTAAACTTCTGGCATGGGGGGAACGTGGGTGGTAAGAAATTCAAGGCCATGCAAACCTCAGGAGGGTGCTTGATTTTCCCAATGGCTATTTACGGTATCTCTTATTTTCTTACCTCTTATGAATTTTAATTGTAAGCTTGACTACTGTATCCTGTCGGTGACTGAGTCACAGTTGATAGTGTTGGGAGTGGAATTTATGCATAGAATGCAACAGCAATAGAGCTGAGTCAAGGGCACGGTCGCATGAAAGAGTTGAAAGGAATGTGAAGAGCTTGGGTTTTGCTAGCAAATGCTCCTTTTGGAGAAGAGAATTCTGAGGATTTATATTTATCAGTGTCCCCCTGTGCTTTTTCTTGTCATCTGAGGGGAATGTCTTCAAACAAAATGTCTTGCAGTTTTATGGAGGATGAATAGGGTGGGGTTTGGGGTGGGTCTAAGGGGGGGTGGTGGAATCATTTCCCTTGTGTTTTAGAGCCCTCACTTTTTTGGGGCAACATGCAGTCCCTTGAGCAAATTTAACCTCTTTTTGTTGAGTGCCGCTTCCTTGCCAGGGGTTGCAGCTGCAGGTGTGAACAGGAGAGAAGCCTGGCTGGCCCGGAGGTCGGGGCAGGATGCAACTGCTGCGGGACCCTCTCTACTCAGTCCTTCTTAGACATGCAGGGGGTGGGGGGCAGAGGGACAGCAACGATCCGGTTCTTTTGCCTTCATGTTCATACTAAGCAGAAATGGAGATGACAAGAAAGGCCAGGTGAAGGCGCCAGTCACTGCACACGGAACGCAGATCATGTTTTTTTATAAGCAAGGCCCGCAGGCAGCGAGCCAGGTGGGCCAACTAAACCCAAAGGAGACTGAGGAGTGTTTCTACTCTGTTTAGAGTTTTTAGGGGGATTTGTTACAAACTCAAGGAATGTATGTTACGAAAGCCTTTTCTCTGCGAGGGTGAAGGAAACAGACACTTTCCAAACTTCAATGATTTGGCCCATTCAAAACCCAGCTCCTCCCAAGTCCTTGAAGCTACAGAGGGAAAATAAAGGATGACAAGGCCTCCTTGAGCCCCCCCTCC